GGAGGACAGGCACTAACTGACCATCAGCCTTTACCTTTAGCTTGTTTTACTTACTTTCATGTGTGCCATACTACTTTTCATTTTCTGCTGTCAGCTGATACAATAAACCGGATTCCTCAAATTCATTCAAGTAATAAGTACTCAATGGCCTGAGCTCCTTGACACGTTTCTCTCTGTCTTCACACATCACCTAAAAAACAGCAGCATAAGCTTGTTAGCAATGATGAAGAGTACATGTAATAACCGCACGCTTCTTCCACACAGCAGGTGCCCAATCTCTTAATTTTCCTTAATTAGTACGAGAACACACAATAATCGAATTTTTTAAATTAAATCTTTAAATAGTTGCACAAAAGGATGTATACCTAACATGTATTAGTAAAAGAGTCCAAAACCAAGAAAGCAAATAGAAGGCTCATTCCAACAGGACCAAAGTTAATTTAAAAACAGAGTTCTTAAAACACTGTGATTAAAATGCTTCAGCAAGAGAAACGTATGCTTATATCACCAAGTACTGTATTTAAAATATATATATATATTAATAAAACAAGGAGCTGGAGAGATGGCTCAGGGGTTAAGGGCACTTCTGGCTACTCTTCCAGAGGTCCTGAGTTCAATTCCCAGCAATCATACAGTGTCTCATAACCATCTATAATGGGATCTGATGCCCTCTTCTGGCATGCAGGTAGAATACTATATACATAATAAATTACATAGTTTATGGTATGAGGTAATGAAGTCACAAAAATAAAAGAAACAGAAAAGTCTAAGAATCATAAACACACGGAGCACGAAGAACTGTAGTTGGTACTAAAATAAGTGAATGCAACTGGGAACCGTGCCTAAGCTGTGTTGCACCAGAAATGGCATTTCACAGTCCTTCTGCCTATCTCCCAGATCTTCTTTCTGCCTCCTCTTTCAAGATGCCTGGAGTTTTATAGGGGATGGTATGAATGCTTTATTTAGGGTTCAACACTCAAGAATCACTTATTTTCAGCACCTTTAGAAGCCAGGAGGCTCTGCTTTTGCCCCCTATTTACTGGACAATCTTTAACCAAGAGAAGCTGTTCTGGCTAGTTTTTATGTCAATTTAACACAAGCTCGTGTCATCTAAGAGAAGGACCCTCAACTGAGGAAAGGCCTCCGTGAGATCAGGTGTAGGCAGGCATCTGGGCCATTGCTGGAGCGAAGTTCTTGCGCACTGTGGAAAGGCTGTCCTCGCATACTCAAGTGCTCGTCTCTGTCCCAGCAGAGAGCTCAGCACAGACAAGCCTTTGGTATGGATAAACACCACCTGTCTCAATCTTTTGTAGACACTGTTCTCCACTACCTTTTGAGTGGTTACATAAAGAGCTGAGACAGGAGAGAATACACAAGTCTTTTGGGAAACTCTGGGAAAGAGGAATGAAAGGATTCACCTAGGAGACATGGAGAAAGTCAGACTTATGAAAATGAAAAAAAGGTAAAGAACCACGTGGCAGAACAGTCCAAACACAGGCTATACACGCTAGTTTGGAACAACAGTAAGCTACGGCCAAAAGCTTTCATTAATAAATAAAAGTTTCCGTGCCATCACTCAGAGCCGGGGTGGACATACAGAGTCCATACAGTTACAGAGCATTTCAGAACTACTGATTGATAGGGGCTGGTGCAACCCATCATGGCTGGGGCCATCCCCGGGCTGGTGGTCCTTTATTCTACAAGAAAGCAGAATAACCAAGCCACAAGAAGCGAGCCAGTAAGTAGCACTCCTCCTCAGGCTCTGCACTAGCTCCTGCCTTGGCTTCCCTCAGTGGACTGATTCAGGACATGTGAGCCAAATAAACTCCTTAGGGAGCTGCTTTTGGTCTTGGTGCTTCATCACAGCAACAGTAACCCTAACTAAGACAGTAGCATTTATCTATAGGTATAAATTTGAAAGCAGTCAGACACTACCAGCTTACCTACCGAGTAAGTTCCCCACTAAGGCCATATTTGACTGGGTTTACACTTTCATGCATGAGTCTCCTGGGGAATGGCCTCAAATCAATCTGAGTGTTGGTCACACCCATGCCAGTAGTGAGTAGTGTCAACTTCCTGCCTGACAGGTTGGTATTGAAGTCTGTATGGTTCACATAAGAGAAGTCTTTCTTTCCTCTCTCAGCAACCTGTACAACGTGTTCCAGCCCTCTGAAAGCTGGTCAGCAGGGAGGAAGTTTCCCGTTTCACTTCCAACTAGTTTTCTCTGGGTCTTGCTATCAAGGAATGTGGCATCTTTAGCAACATGGTCTTAGCTTATTCGGGTGGGCAACCAAGAGGGATGGCAAAAACGTGTTTGTTGTTTTTAATTTAGTTTAACAGAAGTGAGTTGGGCTAATGTTGAGAAAATTCCTTAAATATAGTTAGTAAAGAGCATACCTAAAATTTAAAGCGAGATTTATTTACCTTATGCCCACATCATCTAATAGTGAACCTCAACAAAAATGCCAACATTTGTACACTGATGCCACACTGGCAAACTATAAAACAGAAAGTTTAGGAAATGTTCTTATCCCAAAACGGGTCCACCTCCAGATTAGAAGACTATGATGTTAGTAAGACTTCTTTCTGAACATCAATAAGGAATTCTTAATCAGCATCACTAGGATGCACCGCGCAGACACGACAGAAGTAAACCAATCACTTGCCTCCACTGTGCCAAAGCTAGCACTTTCCTCTGTGACTCTATTGACTTTTTAAAGGAAGTTTGTCTTTGATTTTTTTAAAATTATTAACTTTTCAAAATTTCAATTTAGTTTACATCCCAAGGGTTCCCCCTTCCCCTCTCTCTTTCCCGCCCCAGAAAAGGCTCCCCCTCATATCAAGTCATATCAGGACTGCGGATATCTTCATCCCAAGGCCAGGCAAGGCAGTCCTGTCAGGGGGGAAGTGATCCAAAAGAAGAGACCATCTTAGAAACAGCACCCCACCCCTCCACTTGCCAGGCGACCCAGCTGCCCACTGGCCACATAGGTGCAGGGCCCTAGGTCCAGACCATGCATACTCCTTAGGTGATGTCTCTGAAAGCCCCCATGGGACTGGGTTAGTTGTTTCGTTGGTCTTCTTGTGAGGGTCCTGTCCCCTCCAGGTCGTTCCATCTTTCCCCCATCTACTGACTTCTTAAACCTGGCTTTTTTTTCCCCTGCCTCTCCACACTAAAAGCAATCTTTTATGTGTTTTCCTTCCAAATGCTTTATTTATTTAATTTTAATAAGTTTTCTTTCTGATTAATGTTGTCCTTTCTGTTTGTACTTTTCAACATTCATGAGCAAAAACTTTCAGACACTCCCCTATAGTCTTCTATTTTCATGTCTCAAAATGTAAAGAGCAAAGCTGGTAACACTGTAAATGGCTACTGTGGTAAGGAGAGGCACACAGACTCCAACCACTGTCCAGATGTGTACAGAGCGTGCCTGAGGAAGGTTCTGAGCTCAGCATGCGCAAGCCTCACACTTAGACTGACTGGAAATTCCTGTAACGAGAGCAATCTATATAGAATTTAAAGCTCTCACTGCTCTTCCCAGCACCACTATGTGGACTCTGTGATGAATTATTAAATTCCTTGCCTTGTCACAAGTAAGCAATTCAGCCAAAGCACACCTGCTCCTCTGAGTAAAGAGGGTATTTTACAGCAGAAGACGCAGCACTCCTGGGAATGGTACTTTACGATAATGCCTATTTTCCCAGTCCAGCAAACACCAGAAAGCAAGGAGGGAGGTTTGCAGTCGCATTCCTAAGACACACTTCAAACTGTGAACCAAAACCTCTAAAATTACATATCTGTCAATTATATCAAACCTTCAGAACATGAGGACGATGGCCAGACTTCACTGTCCTCTTAGCACAGTACTTCTAGCACCATTAAATATTCTGTTTTTTAAAAAACTCCAGGTTGCCTGATGGGGAAATGGTAATCAATATCAGCCTAACCTAACGAAGGTCCATGGGGGCTCAAAGAGACTTACTACCAACCAAAGAGCACATGTGGACTGGACCTAGGACCCCTGTGATATGTAGCAAATGTGCAGTGTGGTCACTGTAGGGTCCCCTAACAATTGGAGCGGGGGCTGTCTCTGACATGTACTCTGCTGCCTGCTTTTGCACCACTTTCCCCCAGCTGGGCTGTCTTGTCTGGCATCAATGGAAGAGGATATGCTTAGTCCTGATAGGACTCGATGTGCTGGAGTGGGCTGGGGAGAGGGGCAGTTCTCCTTTCCTGAGAAGGGGAGGGGGAAATGGAGAAAGAAGGTGGAAGGGTGGGACCAGGAGGAGAAGATGGAGGAGTCTTTGATTAGGATATAAAGTGAATAAGAAAATAAATTAATGAGAAAATTAAACATATATAAATAAATATATAAATAAATGAAAAAATCCAGGTTGCCTGATGGGGAAATGGTAATATTAAACAATACTCAAACTTTCAGAGCAATCTGCAGCTGGTTCTAAAGGTCAAAGCAGTACAACAGGATTCTCTGGAATGTGCTTTCCCTTTCCAAGTAGGAAATGAGAGGAAGACTAGCCACAGTAACACACACACACACACACACACATACACACACACACACACACACACACACACACACACACACACACACCAGTAAGAAACTTATCCTAGGACATGCTGAGAAGGAAATGATTTGAATTGACTTCATCACAAAGAATTTTGCTACAGATGTGACAAATCATTTATCACCAAAACCTGGCATGTGCCATCATGAGTTGGTGCTCTTCTTCAAAGATTAATGTATCTGATTAGAAAATGTTGACCTGGACCCCAAAGGGAAAATGCTTAATACTCCATGGACTTTATTTCATTTCTAAACTATGAAAAATCACACATGTCAAAAGGGGTCTGATGCCAGCATCTGTGCAAGGACACGCAGACCACCCATGCTTCCAAGTCGCTGTCAGATGCCTGCTCTGTGTCTACACCTGAATCCAACCCCACGTTCCCTTCAGGATGCTGAGCAGGCAGTTCAAGATCCTGCCTCTGTCTGAGACAGTGACAAACATTTGATCTGGTCTCCGATTCTATGTGCAAAAAAAGCGCTTCAAGTTAAAATTGTACTGAGCATTATATATCATCAACTGGGAGGAAGTATATCTGCCTTCACGGCTTATATTATGAAGCAAGTCCACATTTAAGTAATGAAACAAGTTAAGGAATAAATG